TCAATTAAATAATCTCGTTATCCATTGTCGTTCATCAACAAAAGACCTATAAATATTATGAACATTGAAAACTTTTACAAGCTATACACATTCCTATAAATAATATGAAAAGGATTCAAGTAGTCCATTCGTAATATAAAACAATAAAAAGAACAACCGGAAAATGGAGGAGCATATGAACAAAAACACAAACAATTGAGTATACAATACACCTTCAAAGTAATAAAGAAAAAATGTGAAAAATGGGATTCTTTTTCTTTTTCTTACAAGACAATTGTCAACATTAGCTAGTCCAGTGATATTGTAATAAGTGTTATAATGAGAAAATGGTAATTTTCCCCAGTCCATTTATCAATGACAATAGTATAAAAAGTAAATAGAAACACCGGATTTCCTCTTTTTCGTAAACAGAACATTAAACAAAAAGTTATATTCAATTCGGATTAGTGAAATAATAATTGTCATCCCTTGAATCAACATCTATCATTCAACTTCCTGTTCTTCGATATTTTCTTTCTCTACTCTTGGTTATACGTAATCATACCGGTGTACACCATGTGATCTACTGTTGACATAATTCGAAATTTTGTCTTATTGAAATTTCAGAACGAGTTATTTTCGTGAAAATTATATTGTGACTTGATAACCAGTGGGAATAGTGTCTGTAAAAATACAAAAAAACCACATTTATAGAGACCAAACAAGTTTCTCGGGAGAACGTTATAAACTTTACTAAGTTGAAAGTGATAACCATTAAGCTCACTACTTGGTTAACACAAAATACGACATACAACTAACGGTACTCGAACGCATAGAACCCCACAGTTTCAAATCAGAAGAAGGAAAAAGCAGTAGAAGTGATTGTTCGGTAAGAATCAAAAATGTACAGAAAAGTATGGGTATTTATAGATATTAGTGTTAGCTATAACACCATTATAATTCAACCAATCCTCAAGGAGTCAAGTTATGCTACCGTCCGATAGTAGCACGCTATATTGATATTCTGGAAAATTCTGTCAAGTTATGAGTAGATAAAAAATCTTCAGTCCCTTCAGCCTCCGAAGGCTCCGTCGTGGCTCTCAAAATTCGTCCCAACAATAACAGTAATGGTGGCAGTAGTAGTAGTACTAAAATGTCTATCTCTGAATGAAGTCAGCACCATTAAATTCTTGCAATGCATTGGATTATTGCCTATAAAAGTTGAAATACATGTAAAACTCCTTTGATTCTACATGTTACGGTTTATTCACATTCGTTACTTTTCAAATAGCTCTTCATTGATAATTAACAATTAGTAGATGTTTGAAATTATCAGTATCCTGATATACTACTTTTATACTATCTCATATTAATGAAAGATAATCATTGTGTTATTGAAGAAAAAAGAAGACAATTCAGTGTAGAAAAGACCTCTTCTTCTTTGAATTGTCTGATGTTACTTACAAAATTATACATTGTATTCACATTCAGCGTATGGATTGAATAAAATTCCAAGAAATAAGAGATTGTCCATTGTCTATTAGACCAAAACGCTTGATTTCCGATTAAACGACTAAGGATTTACATACAATCTCGCTCCTATTACTTCAATTTTAGTTATCTAGTTAATATTAATAATTACCCTTCAGGCAATATATGATTCAAAGTTAAGCAATATAAATTTGTATGTGGTAAATCAGGTCTGGAGGTTAAGCGATCGCCCGTAAGATCGTAGGTCATGGGTTCGAGTTTAGCTAGACCACCAAGGAAAACCTGGAAGCATTGGATCGTGGATGCGCACTGCTGAGGAGTCCCACAATAGGACGAAACGGCCGTCCAGTGCTTCCAGGATATTGATTAGACAATTAATCAATAAATTTAGATATAATACTTGAAAGCTTCAATATATTCCGTCTTAATAGGAAATTTACAATGAGACATGAAGAAAAAAGATGTGTTCCAATCTTTCAAAGAAATAATGAAGTTTACCAAATGTATACATGTAGGAAATGAAACTGCAATGATTAATGCTTAAATTTGTATAGCTTGTCACATATAAACTATAAATATAGATTAGTGAAACTGCTCTTTTATAGAGTCAAAAAGTTGTGTTCATCAGAACAACTCAAGGAGGAATGAGTAAATGGACGCCTTCAAGAAGTTATAAAGAAATATAACTTGGAACATCAAAATAAGACAGAATTTTGCAAACCCTTAAAGGGATACATTTTTAACGGATCGGCGTTAACAAGTATACGGTTATTGATCACTTCAGTGTATTTATACTTAGACGTGTGATCTGTCTGAAAGGCAAAAACCTAACGAATCTTTATTTATTGGAGTTACAAATGTAAACCATTGGATTCAATGATGTAGAGTTTATGTATTTGTAACGAGACCTGAATGTACTGGGTTCAACTGTCAATGAGGTCGTGAATATTCGCGGATGTGAAGCTTCATAACAAGAAGAAACAACAGTTCATTACCTCCTGGTTTTAAATATTTTCTAAATAAGGTTGGTTTATGGTGTACGCTATAAAAATCACAGAACCGTTCGTCTTGTTTGACACGACAAAATTGATTTCATCATGACACATGTAAAGTGTTACATGAATGTTAAATTTCCTGTTCATTCCTATTCACATGAATTTATATATTTCCTTTGAACTGATTGTGCCAACATTTTAATCAAATTTGTTACCACTAAATTGATTGTTGCATAATTACACCACTCTAGTTTGTAATTATTTAATTCTTTTAACTGGTACATCGCGGTGAATGATTAAACCCGATTTCAAAATGTCTACAGAATTCATTTTTTTGACATTTTAATTCCTGTCAACAACATAATTGTTGTTTTTTAAGGAATAATTTTATCATTAAAATAAGTGAATGGGATTTTTCGAATAGATCTTTTAATCAGTCTCATAACCTGACTTACTTTTGTAGTTTGATCCCAATAGATTATTAGTAATAAATCCATAACTTCTCCATTGTTTTCTTGTATAAACTGTTAGAAACTTTGTAAGCGAAGATGAATAGTGGCTAGCAGTGGAATCCAGTTTGACGCGCGTTTCGTCCCATTTGGGACTCGTCAGCTGGATGTACCTGCATCTCAGAGTTGATGTTCATTCTGTTTGCGAATTAAGGCTATATCGAGGCAATACGCATAGTGTGCACATATACCATTTAGAGACTGACCAGTTGCAGTCGTAAACATCAATGGGAAGATTAAAACAAACAATAATAGGTGAATGTTTGAAACTTTTATGAAAAATGTTGATTCCTTTTCTGCAAGTTATATTATTCTTCGAGGGAAAAAAACTGAAAAATTAACATAGTCTAAAAAATCATTTTCAGTCCAAACTGACCCTCATATAACTGTTCTTTACTAGCAAGTAACTACTGAGCACATATGGTTTCACATTAGATAGAATCCAGTGCTCTTATATCTTTCTATAAGTAGTGTACTTTTATACTGTCTAACTCCAGATCTTGAGGAGTTTTTAAGACCTCAAATCATCTAGTCTCAGACGAACAGAGGAAACCTTGGTAACTAGTTTCAGTTCATAGTACCCCTCTGACTGGTCACATTCACCCATAGTTCTTCATTTTTGTTACGCCTTTTTCATGATCATAGTTATTGCTAAGTAAATTGAATTATTGTACCATAGTTTTGACTTTTTAGAAAATCAAGCTTTTTCTGAATTTCATATATTCTTTCTTCAATCACGTGGAGGATTATTACTGTTGTTGAAATCATATGGTGATTAGTCTTTGCACTCATAAGAATGCATAAATCCCACTCACATTGAACAAAATCTCCCAGTCATTTATAATCAGGATTGATCTTAATCAATTTAAAAATTTAGTAGGAATGTATCAGGTCAGAAACGGCACAACAACCTAACAATCATGTTGAATGACTATCAGGAATTAGACTGAGAATCGATTTGAGCCAAAAATAGATTGATTTTTTAGGTATACTTACTAATAGACTGCACAACATGAAAATCTTAAGTTCAATCCAGTGTTTTAAACTAATCGATGTTTCCTATTGAAGATATTAAATAACTTGAATGCTTTCTACAGTCGAACTCGATTTGTAATAAAAATTGGATTAGAAATTTGTGTTAATATAATTTCACTCGATCTACAGAATTGGATTAGCGCTAAAAATGAGCTGGACAAACGTGATATCAGTCGCTACTCAATGACCAATAAATGGTAAATATCTCAGTCTTACGGGATGTCAATCATCAGGTGCAAAGCTTAATGGTAATATTTTAGGCGGTTCTATATCTGACTCCAGTTAGATCCTTTCTTGTTCTTATTGAATGATTGCTGTCGAAATATACATGTCGCCAATGCTCGTATATAAGTATCGACTTAACTCACATTAGTGAATAACGGAATCAAATAAGTTAAATACGAGAAAGAATTTCGAATACGTATATTTCGTACAACCAGTGATCCACAAAGATGATCAAAGAAACGAAGCGAAGAGGAGAGAACGGAACGAAACGGAATGATGCGCGGTGGAGAAAGCATGAAAGCCAACTCAATTTAACCAAGCGTGAATCGATATTTATAGTCAGGAAAAAATAAATTACAGATATGTGATGAGTAAAGTAAGTAATTAGCACACATACGATCATATAAAAAACAGTCAGGAATAATAAGCGAATGAGTGACAGGGTAAAAATGTGGCTTGAGCAGAACCAATAGATTGGTCTGTCCAGAGGCTAGAATAACCTATTTGTGCTTGACATAGTACCAACCCCTACAACATTTCAGACTATGAAACTGAGTGGTGGTGTTTCAAACCCATCATGGGGCATCAATTCCGTAATCTTTGCTGACAAGAGCCAGCTAGCACGAAACCTAAATAAAACAGCGTTTCCTGGTAGCTGACTTCAATTATCTAACGTCATACAAAGTCTGTTATGCTCGTTATACTTCACCCGAATTATTTTCCTAAATATACCAATAATTCTTATGCTTTTAATCTATACATCTAGGCAATTTATAGTATGCTGGGTGCTGATGAATCAACTGTTGATTTAAGTCCTGAAGCGCGTACAGATGAAATATTTGAAAAAATGGATAGTAATTCTGATGGAGTTTTAACAAGAGAAGAATTTATGGATGGTTGTATGGCAGATAAACAACTTTATTCTATGTTACTCGCTGATGAACCAGCTGAATAATTTTTGTTTAAAAAAATACACAAAACGTCAAAATTAATCAATCCAATTTGTACCCCCCTAACTACTACTGTTGGAAACCTTGTCATGTTTTTTTTTAAAGGTATAAATTTGTGTCTGTGCATTTTTTTTTGCATATCTGTATTGTATCTGTATTGTTCGAAAGAGAAACTTACAAGTAAAACATTGATCAATTTGAAAAACAAACAAACAGGAAAACAAACAAATAAATAAATAATTGTATTCACAAATAGATAAACTAGTCAAGAATGGGGACTGGTCATTTACAAATTGATTTTCTTCCAATTTTGTCAACAGCCTGTATTCTCTATTGACTGTTAACTTATTATATGTAATTCAAGATATTGTAAAACACCCACCCCTCCTTTCTGTATGTACACATACACACGTACCAACATCAATATCATTCACTTAAACCATTATTACACTTTTAATCATATGTGTGGAAATATCCTTTAACTTTCCTAAAAATGACACTAGTTCTTGAGAAAAAAAGGAAAGAGAAGTAAAGGGGGGGGAGGTGATAGCAGTCTTTTTTCAAAAAAACACAACAACACATGAATAATTGAGTATTCTATTAGTAGTACTGTATAATGTTTGTTATTTTCAATCAGCTGTTATTTTGATTTTGTAAAAACGCAAAATTCAAAGTGTTTCTAAGACCCTACATAATATCTTTATTGTGTACTATGAAATAATCGCATATATACATTATGTCATTTGTTATAAAGATTTCTGTAGCCAATTTTTAAAGGTCCTAATAATACGAACTATTATTATTATTACTATTACTATTATGCTGAAATGCTTACCATTCATTAGTATATCTTGAAACGATCATCATTTATTCTATATATATTAGATGAATGCAAGCAAGTTTTTTTTTACATTCTATGTGCTTCAATAATCAATAATAATAGAACCATTGATTATTGAATCTTATTCGTTACCGGGGTATTGGTTAATTTCTAGGTGAAAGTTTTTTTCTCTTTTTTTTTCTCTTTTTCTATATTCATATGCATGTGAAGAAAAGAAAAGAAAAAAATAAATATATTCTAGGCCACAGATATTGTTTTTAAGAATAAAAAACCTTGGAATGAACAATATATAGAGAGAATACCTTTTTTTGGTTCATTATTTGTATTAAAAATGTTCATTCATTCATTCAATCAATGAATTTGGATCAATTTGATAATACCAAAAAGGGTAATGATTGGGTTTTTGTTTTTTTCCTCTTCATTTAATGTTTATAAAATTTTGTTTATTTAAATGTTTACTCTTTAATATTGATTGATTAGATGACTTAAAGCATTTCTTAAATACCTAATATGAATACAAATAACCATTAGTACTAATTCTACTACTACTACTGATGTTGTTTGTTTGTTTATCATTAATACAATTGATACTGTTTACTTGTTTTTTTACCTTTTGTTAAACTTATTTCTTTCACTGTTCTTTTTTCTTCACACACACTTGGAGCCTTGTCTTCTATTGTTCATTTTTAATAACCCATGTATTGTTGTTTGTTTCCCTTTTATAGAAAGAGATAATCTATATTATGAAAAAAACCCAGAAAATAATGTTTCTTCTTCTGTAATTTCATGTTTTGTTTAAATAATAATAATAATAATAAATGATAAGTATATATATATATATACAGTTCATTGATTTGATGAATTGTTGTTAAGTGCATTGTTCCATGTATACACATACACACACATACATACATACATACATATACACAAGCATGGGTATGCTGATGTTGTTACTGTGCTATATACACACATGCATGTTGATATTGTTGCATTACGTAATTGAATGATATACGTGTATAATTTTACAGACAAATAAAATTCTTACTAAACTATTATTATTATTATTATTATTATTATTATTATTATTATTATTATTATGAAGAGGAGGAGGAGATGAATGTAAGTTGTCATGACAGAAATGATAAAAATCTTTATAATGAAACAATAGTTATGTTGGTTAGTATTACACAAATTTATTATTATTATTATTATTATTATTATTATTATTATTATTATTATTATTATCTTACGTATATTGGGTACATGGGTGTAATAGTCATTGCTTGTTCCCACCTCTTCTACTTCTACTTCTTCACCTATGTTCACTTAAAAAAAATTTATGTTTACTGTTGCCATAGGTATATTTTTTTTATTCAGATCTATCCGCTTTATCATTCATTATATTATAAGCATTTTAAAGGATTCCCATTGCTAATTACTACCACTTACACTATTACCACTACTACTACTATTACTACTACCACTGCTATTGCTATTATGATTATCAATACCATTTTCATTTTCTCACTGACCCTTTTATCCCTTTTCATTGACATTTTCTACTATTAATGTCTTAATTTTTATCTTAAAAGTTGAATATTATTTGTTCAGACTCACTTCTCCCCTATACCACATATATATAGTGTGAATGAATATAGTACATGTGAATATGCATGTCTAAAAAATGTATGTTAAGCATTTATGTCTACATAGGTTCTATTAATACTATGACAACTACAAATATTTCTTCCATTTAATTCATTCACTTATCATATAAAGATCAACAAAACAAAACAAAACAGAATGGTATAATATACCATTTCAATTTTATTTTGGTAAATCAAAATGAAACAAAACCGCGAACACAGTAATCTCTTATTATATATTTATATTATATCATTGATTTGTTTCTAATATCTATTCAGTTGTTATAAAATATAAAGTGATGTATTAAATTTTTGATGGAGTTTTGTTCTCTGAGTTGGATGATTTGGTCGTAGTTCCTCTGAACGATATCATCAGCACAAACTTCAGGTAGAAGTAAAGTGTTCGACCTCGATTGAGATCTACAGAACAAGCTATGAGTCATATGTGGAGTGATTGTAACACTTCATTTCTATCTGAAGTTTGTGCTGATGATATTGTTTAGAAGAACAATGAAAGCTCCACGACTAAACCATCCAACTCAGAGAACAAAACTCCACCATCTTATGTATTAAATGTCATATGAATTCATTATAAAGCTATCCCAAAATCATTTGTAACTGTTGACTGTCATAGAGATTAATGAATTGCACAGGTTACATCACAGAATTAATCTTAGATAATCACTAGAAGCCAAGCAGTACAATGGAGTTGTTTCTCCATAGTATAGCTTACGTTATAAGTCCATATCTACGACTACACCTACGGATGTATCTAGCATATTCAAATCTCACAGTGACTTTTAAACTACTGATGGCCAAACAATATTTTGAATTGATTGGAGATCAATAATATGAACATCTTAATCCCAGTCCAGTTAAGTGTACACGCCTCTAGAACTAAAATTCATAGGTTCAATCTTTTATGGAATTACAGATGTGCCCTACTCGGAAATCTCATACTACGACGAAATAGCTGTCAAGACCTTTCTCGTTTTCGGTAATTATCTAGGATCAGATGGTGATATAACTATGAAATTTTCATTATCACCGTGGTACTTGAAAGTGTTGTTTTTAACCTAATGTGAAGATGTGTGTATGTGTGAGTGTAATGTCAAAGAGGATAATACGGATGCTTCCGAAACTTGCTGAATTTACTTTTTGTGAAAGAAGTTTAAATATTTATCGGAAAAACTATGTTAATGATAATTTCGAGGTAAAACAGTTGAAGGAAGTAAGCGAGGGATCCTAAACTTGAATTTAATTCTAGTTAACACTTATCAGTAAGGTATATCTGTAATCTTTAGATGACAGTCGCTTCCACTAGAACTACGAGTTTAGTGCAATAACACCGAGCACTTTGAATCTACGTGACACCTGTTCGAATCCTACGGAAAGTATCTGCTACCTTAAAATCTCATATACATCTTGTTGACGAATGTTAACTAACAAGAAATCTAGTCTGAGCAGGGTTTGTTGTTGACTACGTCAGACCACTTAACATCATGTCAATCAAAAGTTTGATATGATTATTTGCTAAACAATCAACTATCGAATTTGTAATCGATTAACTGAAGGACTAATACATCAGGTACTGAGCTACTATTTTATTACCAAATCATTAATTTCGAAACTTTTGACCTTAAATTTCCTAATTTAAGAATTATTATCCATTTCATAAACTATTTTTGAATTTTAGCGGAAATTAATTCAACATATGGTATTGCTATCAGTATAGGGTTGTGGACAATGTTAAGTTTTGATTGAGATAATGAATCAATCAATGCTAGACCACCAATGAAAATCCAGGAGCACTGGACGGCCGTTTCGTCCTAATATGAAACTCCTCAGAGGTGCGCATTGTTTAAATATGGAATTCAATAAACGAGCTTTTTCACAACGTGTCAACGAAAGGTTAATTGATAAATTTCTCAAAGCAGAAATAGGTTAAGAATAAATATGACCATTGTGTCTCTCAATTTCGTGGATCAGTTGAAGTTAGACATTAACATCTGTGAATGCCGGCCGGCTCAGTGGTCTAGAGGTCAAGCGCTCGCACACAGGACTGATAGGTCCTGGGTTAAAATCTCGCGAGGTGGGATCGCTGGTGCACACTGCTGAGGAGTCTCACGATTGGACGAAACGGCCGTCCAGTGCTTCCAGGTTTTCCATGGTAGTCTAACTTCAAATGACTCATCTCAACCATTGAAGTTACTATGATATCCACAAAACCCCTTATGATATTACCACCGGTGGATGCCGGCTCAGTGGTCTGCTGGTTAAGCGCTCGCGCGCGAGACTGATAGGTCCTGGGTTCGAATCTCGCGACGCGGCGTCGTGGATGCTCACTGGTGAGGAGTCTTATACGAGGACGAGATGGCCGTCCAGTGCTTTCAGGTTCTCCATGGTGGCCTAGCTTCAATTGACTCATGATCTCAACTATTGAAATTACTATAATATCCATAAAACCCCTTCTGATAATATATTTCTGCTTCAAAGAAGGTCATTTTATTTTATGAAT